GACCCACACACCACACGATCTGCCCATGCCACCCCCAATAGCATGGGCAGCCACTCTGCCAGGGAGGGACCACAGGGACGCCCACAGACAGAAGGGGAGACTGAGGCCGGGGCATTCACGTCCCTCCAGCCTGAAGACGACAACCCTGACCCTGGCCATGCAGCCAGCACCCAGCACCTCAGATCCACTCACGACTGCACCCAGGGAGTCTCTGGGGTTGTGGATGGGGGTGCAGATGGCCACACCATAGATGGGGGGCCTCGGCCAGGGCTGGAAAGACCAGTGAACCTGGGAAGGCCCCGGGACACGGCCGGGTGGACGGTGAGCACCTCCAGCCGTGGGGAGGTCTTTGCAGGCCCAGCGAGGTCCCTGCCTTGTGCATAGGGACCAGCTGCATGAAGGGACATTGCTGTGGGGGGTCGGAGGTCAGGAACTCTTCCGCCCACTCTGCCGTGGGCACCTCAGCGCCTGTTCGTGGGACAGGACGACACCCCAGTGTCAGCTGGATTGGAACAGAGGCCACAGAGGGCTAGCGACCGTCACGGCAGGGAGGGAGCCAGGTGGGGCAGCCAGGGAAAGGTGGCGGCATTACTGATGGCCTTGCCTGGCTGCCTCCGGAATCCCACTGAGGCCAGCTGGGGAGGGGTTCTGGGGAGGGTACGTGGCAGGGCAGGCACCCAAGCATGGCGCTGACTCCATGCTTCTGGAGGCCAGTTTTCACTCCGAAGGTTCTGGCACTTCCTGAACACAGAGGCGCGCCCCCCTTGCACACACCCTGTTAGTAGTCAGTCCAGCCTGTACTCTTGGCCTCCTCGTGGTCCGAGGAGCCTGCAGATGCCCAGACAGTGGAGGTCCCATGCGTGCCCACCCACGTGCCCACCGGTATGCAGGAAGACAGAGTGTCACTCTGTTGAACAGCACAGAGAGGAGGAAGGAGATCACGGCGCCTCCCGGTGCAGGGCCTGCTGGGCTGGCGGGCACCCTTCAGATAAGAAATCAATCTGTACTCAGGTGAGAGGAGAGTGCGTGGGGAGAAGTGCCAAGCGCCAGGGCCCGCGAGGGATACAGTCAGGGACGTGAGGCAGCAAGGGCGCCGGTGGCTCCTGAAGGTAGGGGCTTGTGGTGGGAAGAGACGCTGGGAAGCCTCCCCACGCCCAAGGACCCCTCAGCCCGACCCAGCCCACCACAATGGCTTCTGTGAGGGTTCTGGGGCTGGGGGGTGGGAGTATTCTGGAAGCCACTCTATCCCCAGAAGGCACGGGAACCCAGCGGGGTACCCGCACAGGGCATGGGAAGGTGCTGAGCTGCAGGGAGGGAGGGCGTGACTTCGGCCAGGCCAAGAGGCTGCCCCGAGTCCCCGTGGGAGAAACCTGCAGCCACCAGGGCCCTACCCCCTCCCTGCCCCCACGGATGCTCCTGCACCTTCGGCAACCCAGACGTGAGCCTTCTGGCCCTCACAGCCCAAAATATGGCCATCAGTCCTCTGCAGAAAGACCTGGCTGACCGTCAGATCTCCAGTGGCGGAAAGGCCAGGGGGCCTTCCGAGACCAAAGGGCAGTGGGGGTTCCCTGCTGGGGGCTGTACCTGCTGGTGGAGACCCAGGCGCAGGGTGAGGCCCCCGTGGCGCGGCTCGTCCCCGTGCTCGGCGCCCAGCAGGTGCTTGTTGAAGTGAGGCAGCGGCAGGCTGGGCCTGAAGTCTGAGCTCAGCATGCTGACGGGTGCCAGCAGGATGATGGCGTTGGTGACGGGGCCTGGGGGGCGCGGTGGTCAGGCCCCGCCCCCGGCCAGGCCCACAGTATCCCAGCGAGGTCCCACCCCACAGGAAGCCGGGTCCTGCGCCATCCCGGCTAGTCCCCCAGTCAGTCTCCGCCCCATCCCGGGCAGTCCCCGCCCCATCCAACCAGTCCCCGCCCCATCCAACCAGTCCCCGCCCCATCCAACCAGTCCCCGCCCCATCCAACCAGTCCCCGCCCCGACCCGGCCAGACCCCGCCCCATCCTGGCCAGGCCCCGCCCCAACCCGGCCAGTCCCCGCCCCGACCCGGCCAGGCCCCACCCCAGCTCCTGCAGGCCTCGCCTCCACGCCCCCTGCAATGGACGCGGGCTGAGCACAGAGGCGCGCCCACCTTTGAGGGCCACAGTCCTGATGCACTGCTTGCTCTGCACGTCCCAGAGCCGCACGGTCTCGTCATGGGAGCCCGAGAGCAGCACGCTGCCGTCCGTGGACACCGACAGGCAGGTCACCTGGTTCCTGGACAGACAGGCGGGGGTCAGCGCCAGACAGGACATGCCAGAGAGCCCCCGCCCCGTGCCCACGTCCCACCTGTGCCCCCAGCTCCCCACCTGTGCCCTTTGAAGACCTTCCCGGCGTCCTGCTCTGGCTGGAAGCTTCTCTCCCTTTGTCCCGGCTGCAAAGACAGAGACAGGTGTGAGCAGCAGGCCCGATGCCCTCAGCCCCAGGGCACGGCGCAGCCCAACACCCGCCCGACGCACTCACCCAGGTGAAGAGGTCCACCTGGAAGATGGAGCCGTCGCTGCCCCCGCAGAACAGGTGGTGCTCAGCCAGGTCCATGGTCACTGCCATGATGGCCACGTCAAAGAGGACGGAGAGCAGCAGCTCCCCCGAGGAGACCTCCCACAGCTGCGGGCGGGCAAAGGGCGTGGGGCTCGGCCCAACTCCGGGGAACCCGAGGACCCCATGGGAACAGGGATCCAGGAAGGGGCACCAGGGAGGTCAGACGTCCGCTGTCCTCTGGTCCTGGGGCGTGGGACTCTGGGTGAAAGCCGTCACCCTGTGGGTCTGGGGGGCTAGGGGACATGGCTGTGCTGAAACAGAGCTTGGTCTCGGGCTGATGAGCCCTGGGTCTCCCTCCCAGGACCACCAGCCATGACTCAAGGGTTAGCAGTGCCCTCCAATTCCCTGGCTTGGCCAGGGAGCCGGGCCAGAAACGGTGAATGAGTGGGAATTTCCAGGCTGGCAGACCTGCAGGTCCACCCTCCCTGGACGTCCTTGGGCTCAGAGCACCGGGGGATTAGAAGCTGTCTGGAGCTCTGACAGCAGGAGGGGGAGGAAGCGATTCCTGTATTCCTGGCTGAGGACCTGCGGCCGCGGGGCTCTGCTCATGGACCGTGGGGGGATGGAGGGGCGGGGGTGGCTCTACCTTCACCGTCTGGTCCAGCGAGGAGGTGGCCACCCGGGCCAGGGGGCCCCCAAAGCCGCAGTGCAGGTCCGTGATGGGGAGCGTGTGGTGAGACCAGACGTGCCGGGGTGCCGGGATCCTGGAGGGGTCGGCCTGCAGCACGCTGGGTGGCGCGGGGTGGGCGGTCAGCAGGCAGGGAGGGGAGGCCAGCAGCCCAAGCCTCTGGCACCCACCTCACAAGCACACCTGCCTCCGCTCAGCAGCCTGGCCTGCCTCACCTGAGTAAACTCAAGCCTGGGTCCCCACAGCCCCCGGGACAAACCACACCCCAACATGGGCAGCCAGGACAGCTGGGATGATCACGCCGTCCTCTGCACTCCAGCCCCCAAGAGAAGCCCCTTCCCGCCAGGGGCCTTGGTGCCTCCTTTCCCTGCCCGAGCCTGGGTGCAGGCCGGGTTCACAAGGCGCGGACCTGCAGAGGCTCCAAGCCAGCACCAGGCAGTCCTTGCCCCCCGAGACGAAGTGGCTGCTGTCCCCGGTGAACTGCAGGCAGGAGACGTCCTGGTAGTGTCGACTCAGGATGACCAGAAGGTTCCCGGTGGAGACCTGTGAGGAGGGCATCCAGGTCGGGGAGGGAATGGTGCTGCAGCTCTGGGAACCACACCGCGGCCCCCTGCCTTCGACTGTGGGTGGGCCTGCCCAGGCAGGGGCCGGCAGGCACAGCAGGGTGGCGCCCCTGCACAGACTGTGTGGGCACCTGCTCCCGCCTCGTCCCCACCTGTGTGACCGCCCAAGAAGGGGGCACGTCCCCTGCCCTGCCCTGTCGCCTCAGGTGCCGGTGCCATGAGCCTGACCCTAGGGAGGGCACGGGCTTCCTGCGTGGGTCCTGAAGGAACGGCCGCACTCAGAACCTGCAGGCAGCTCCCCCAGTTCAGCGGGACTTTACTTCTGGGCAGGCTGCGGTGGCCTGATGGGGATGGGGGCAGCTGAAGCCCCAGCAGGTAGCCAGGCAGCTCCATCTGAGGACGAGGACAGGGAGCCCCTTCCAGGATGCCTGGTGAGGGCTGAGATGCTCTGATTGCTCTGGTGGGGGTTGTGGGTTGAATCGTGTGTTTCCCCCCAGAAGTGTGTTCAAGTCCTGACCGGGACCTGTGAATGGCCTTATTTGGATGCAGTGTCCCTGCACATATAGTTAGTTAAGATGAGGCGATTCTGGAGTGTGGGGGGCTCTATCCAGGGTGTCCCAGTTCTTGAAAGCAGAGGGAAATGCACACACACAGGGGCTCCATGTGTCGGTGGTGAGGCAGGCAGGGGAGATTCACCCACAGGCCAAGGGCGCCAGCCACCGCCGGCAGCTGTGAGGGGCAGGAAGGCTCCTCGCGGGGCCTCCGGGGCAGTACGGCCCTGCAGACACCTTCACTTAGGACCTCTGGCCTCAGGACAGGGACGAGTTTCTGTTGCCGGAAGCCCCTGTGCGTGGTGCTTTGTGGCCCCTCTCTGGGCCTCGGTTTCTGTGCCTACAACAACCAGGGTGGCCGTGGAGGGTTAAATGGCACCAGATGAAACAGGGTCCAGGTCAGCGCGAAACCAGAGGGCAGCCCTGGTGACCACCACTGCCTGGGCAGGGCGGACCAGGCCCGGCCCCACAGCCCCGGCTCTCGGGTTTCCAGCCCCTCCTGACTCACCACTCACACCCGTCACCCACAGAACAGGAGGTTTCAACTGTGGCAGGGGGTACAGTTGAGGCGGTCCGGGCCTGGGTTCCTGCTCAGCATGTGGGGCGCCCCCCTGTGGTCACAGCTCACACGGGTCAGAAACTCTCCCATGTCTGTCATCCCAGCATTTTGGGAGGCCAAGGCAGGCGTATCACCTTAGGCCAGGAGTTCAAAACCCGCCTCACCAACGTGGCAAAACTGTCTCTACTAAAAACACAAAAACTAGCCGGGCGAGGTGGCAGGTGCCTGTAGTCCCAGCTACTCGGGAGGCTGAGGCAGGGGAATCACTTGAACTCAGGAAGCAGAGGTTGCAGTGAGCTGAGATTGGGCCAATGCCCTCCGGCCCAGGCCACAGAGCGAAACTTCATCACACACACAAAAAACAAAAACAGAAAAACAAATTTGGAGGAGGCTGGGGAAGTGGGGGTCTGGCAGTGCGTGCCACCCTGCACACTGTCCCTAGCGAAGAACAGGAAGGGGCCCCGCCTAAGACATCCCCCATGGGGTGATGACACATTTAATTCCTACCCACGTGCCCCTCTACACCAGGCTGACAGCAACCAGGGCCAGGAGGTCGACTGTGAGGGGCAACTCGTGAGCCAGCACCTCCCTGCCTCAGTTTCCCTCTCTGCACCTCAGCAACAGCATCCCAGTTTCAAAATCATGGACTAAGACTTAAAAGCCTTGACGGCCAGGCATGGTGGTTCACGCCTGCAATTCCTAGCATTTTGGGAAGCCAAGGCGGGCGGATCACCTGAGCTCAGGAGTTCGAGACCATCCTGGTCAACATGGTGAAACCCCGTCTCTACTAAAAATACAAAAAATTATCTGGGCGTGATGGCGCGCGCCTGTAGTTCCAGCTACTCAGGAGGCTGAGGCAGGAGAATTGCTCAAACCTGGGAGGCGGGAGGTGGAGGTGGAGGGTGCAGCGAGCTGAGACTGAGCCACTGCACTCCAGCCTGGGCTAAAGAGCGAGACTCCATCTCCAAAAAAAATAACCAATAAATAAACAAAGGCCTCGGCACGCTGGGCAGCTTGGTGCACGCCTATAATCCCACCCACCTGGGAGGATCGCCTGAGCCCAGGAGTTCAAGACCAGCTAGGGCAATGTAGTGAGACCCCACCTCAAAAATAAGTTTAAAAGTTAAACACATACACACGTGTCCCGGGGATGAGATTACCATGCCTCCTGTCATTCCTACACCCCTCGTCCCACTTATTTTTTGGAGACAGGGTCTCGCTCTGTCGCCCAGGCTGGAGTGCAGTGGTACAATCTCCGCTCACTGCAACCTCCGCCTCCCGGATTCAAGTGATTTCTCATGTCTCAGCCTCCCAAAAAGCTGGGATTACAGGTGGGTGCCACCATGCCCAGCTAATTTTTGTAGTTTTTGCAAATAACGGGTTTTCACCATGTTGCCCAGGCTGGTCTTGAACTCCTGGCCTCAAGGAATCCGCCTGCCTCGGCCTCCCAAAGTGCTGGGATTCCAGGCATGAGCCACCATGCCCGTCCCCCGGTGGTCACGCCCTCCCAGCCCTCTCAGTTCTCTGGACAGCCCACTGGGGAAGGCAAGGACAAGGTCAGGAAGGGCAGAAACGGGGTTACCTTTGCGTCTTCTGGCCCCAAATCTTGTACTCTATGCCCTGCTCCATGTGGGACTGAGGGCAGGTCTCCCCACCAATATGATGGACCATTTGTAACAACAGCCAATGATCTAACCCAGCAGCTGCAACTGCGGCCAAACCCCAAGAGGCCTGTGTGAGTAAAATCGTACCGGCACGCCTCCGCGCCCATGCACTCACAGACCATCCAGGCCTGCTTCCCCTAACCAGGGCAGAGTGGAGCAACTGACCTAAATGCAAAGCCTGAACTGTTCGCCCCGTCTCTCAGTGGCAGCAGGAGCGAGGCTGTGTGTGTGTCTAGGGGTTGCTGTCACCTGGTTTCTCCAGCAGTAAGAAAAAGGGGGCACTGGCCGGGCGCGGTGGCTCACGCCTGTAATCCCAGCACTTTGGGAGGCCGAGGCGGGTAGATCACGAGGTCAGGAGTTTGAGACCAGCCAGACCAACATAGTGAAATCCCATCTCTACTAAATACAAAAAAATCAGCCGGGCATGGTGGCGGGCACCTGTAATCCCAGCTACTTGGGAGGCTGAGGCAGGAGAACTGCTTGAACTGGGGAGGCGGAGGTTCCATTGAGCTGATTGAGCCACGTGCACTCCAGCCTGGGTGCCAGAGTGAGACTCCATGTCAAAAAAAAAAAAAGGAAAGAAAAAGGGAGCACTAAATAAACAGGGTCCTGGGCCAGGTGTGGTGGCTCATGCCTGTAATCCCAGCACTTTGGGAGGCTGAAGCAGGTGAAGCACCTGAGGTCAGGAGCTGAAGACCATGCTGGCCAGCACAGTGAAACCCCGTGTCTACTAAAAATATAAACATTGTCAGGGCACGGGGGTGTGTGCCTGCAGCCACAGCTACAGCAGGCAGAGGCTCAGTGGGCCAAGATCACACCACTGCATTCTAGCCCAGGTGACAGAGCAAGACTCTGTCATAAAGGCACAGGCCGCCTCTGCAGGGGGACAAGGCTGTGGTTTTTTTCTTTTTCAAGATGGAGTTTCACTTGTGGCCCAGGTGCCATCTCAGCTCACTGCAGCCTCTGCCTCCTGGGTTCAAGCGATTCTCCTGCCTCAGCCTATCAAGCAGCTGGATTATAGGCACCGGCCACCACGCCCAGCTAATTTTTGAATTTTTAGTAGAGACAGGGTTTCACCATGTTGCCCAGGCTGGTCTTGAACTCCTGACCTCAGGTGATCCTCCCACCACACCCTCCCAAAGTGCTGGGATTACAGGCACAAACCACTCTGCCCAGCTCTTCTGAACTTTCCGGTTACAACTGCCAAGTACTGTCCCCTACCTGGAGGAGATGCCTGCCAGCCCTGGAAGATGCTGCAGTGTGTGTCACGGACCGGCCGGAAGGCGCAGTGTGTGCCACGGACCAGCCGGAAGGTGAAGTGTGTGTGTTAGGGACCGGCCGGAAGGTGCAGTGTGTGTGTCAGGGACCGGCCGGAAGGTGCAGTGTGTGTGTCAGGGACCGTCTGGAAGGTGCAGTGTGTGTCAGGGCCTGGCCGGCAGGTGCGGTGTGTGTGTCAGGGACCGGCCGGAAGGTGCGGTGTGTGTGTCAGGGACCGGCCGGAAGGTGCGGTGTGTGTGTCAGGGACCGGCCGGAAGGTGCGGTGTGTGTGTCAGGGACCGGCCGGAAGGTGCAGTGTGTGTCAGGGACCGGCCGGAAGGTGCAGTGTGTGTGTCAGGGACCGGCCGGAAGGTGCAGTGTGTGTCAGGGACCGGCCGGAAGGTGCGGTGTGTGTGTCAGGGA